TAAGGTCCTGAATCGATTCGTAAGGTCCTGAATCGATTCGTAAGGTCCTGAATCGATTCGTAAGGTCCTGAATCGATTCGTAAGGTCCTGAATCGATTCACAGGGTTCTGAATCGATTCACAGGGTTCTGAATCGATTCACAGGGTTCTTAATTGATTTACAAGGTCCTGAATCGATTCATAAGATCCTGAATTGATTCTTAAGGTCCTGATTCGATTCAACTCCATTTGATTTGCTCTTAAATAAGGAAAAAGGTTCAAATGTGTTGCTACAAATTTACTTTTTAAATGTTTATCTCCATAAACAACAGGCTTTAAGGACAGACTTGTAAAGTGGACAGTTTAAACTTAAACTGTAAACAACACTGTTCAGTTTCAAAGGTTTTATATTAAAATGAATTTCATGTGGAAGGTTTTTAAACCTCATTTGTTTTACAATGTCAGTGTCAAATTAATTTATATAGCACATTTAAACAAAAACTGACCAAAGTGCTTCACAGTTCAGTCAAGACTTGTATCAAAAAAAGTAAATAAAATCATAGATACAAATAGAGAAACACAATATAATAACTGAACCTCCAACTCAGTCTTAATCAAAGACCAAAGAAAAGAAATGGGTCTTCAGCAAAGGTTTAAAAGCCTCAACAGTCTCAGCTGACTGAAGATTCAGAGGTTTGGAGCAGCTGCTGCTGCTGATGATCACCTCTAGATTCCAGTTTGGATCATGAACATCTAACAGGAACTGGTTGGTAGACCTGAGTGCTCTGACTGGACTGTAGAAGTTAAAACATAAATCTGATGGGGCCGGACCATTAAAGACTTTAAAAGCCACCAGTACAGAAAATGGTTCAAGTTTCCCTGGTTCTGTTATAATCAGCTGGTAATGTTAGTGATTCTTTAGCTTCTTTCGTTTCGCCCCAGATGACTTGTTGTCAGAAGCTAAGCTAACATTAGCACTGAAAGTGATGGAAACCTTCAGGCAGCAGAGGTGATACAAACAGCCCTGAGCTTCATCACACAGGTTCCTGAGGTCCACGTCATGAAGAAAATCACTCACATGTCCTTTGAATCAATGAGCCAGGCCTAATAATTTAATCTGTTAAATTAAATATGTAGATTAGAAGAGTTGAGTAAAAGTTCAGGCAGGTCTGTTTGGGTCTTCAGGGCCACCATCATGTCTCTGGAGGACTTTGAGCAGAGGATGAACCAGGTGATCGAGAGG